CCGCATGCCAAGAACATTAAATCATTAAATGAAGGAGGAAATAAAACCTGCACAGGTGCATAAAATCCCATGTAGGTGCTGCTGCTTTACAAAGTGATGCTCTGCTGTGCAAGCTCAACATGCTGCCAGCATCACCACCGGTAAGAAGGGACAAGTCCAGGTCAGGTCGAGGCACATCCACTGCTCAAAAATAGCTTCACAGCCTCCTATGAGCAACCCTATGAACCAGCAAAGTCCATGTCCTTTGGGGTTTATTATGGTGTGCCTCAGGGAATACAAGGCTCATCCAAAACATCTTCCCATTTACAGCAGGAGAGGTAACCAAAGCCCTGATGCTCCCAAACTGCTGATAACTCTTACCTTTTACCTTGTTTAATCCTGAAGCTGTACTGAGATGAGCCAACTTCGCATCCAACAACCAACCAACTGCACCCCACACCAGACTGGGACCTTGGATCTGGCTCACCTCATGCTGGAAATCTTTGTTCCTCTGTTTACACAGTTGTAAAATAACTGCAGAGCTCACACAGGGGCTGTAAGGCTCAAGAAAGCCAGTGGAGATCCTTCCACTATGGGCTCTAGCAGAGGTGGAATACACGGTACCCCTGGGATGCAGGGTCACCACCACTCACATCACAGGTGGATGACCAGGAGACACATGGGCAGGGGACGCCAGCCTGCCTGTTGGAAGGGAAAGCTGCCTTGACTACTCATTCCTCTGATACCTCTCAATTGACTGGAAGTGGTTTTTATCGCCACACAGGAGCCCTTCAAGCTCCGGGCAATTCTCAGGCGTGTCGCCATACAAAATAAAACCTTTTTGAATAGCCATGAGCCAGAAGTGATCGTAGAGAGGAAGAGAGGAAACAGCTGATCTCCTGTGCAGCCTCTGATGACCCTGGCATCAGATGGCTGCCAGCAGCATCCTCCCGGGACAATAAGCCAAGATATGCTGCACCTCTGCCCTCCCTGCTTTCCTCACAACTGCACTGCAATTTGTGCTAACCTAGAAAGGACCCTCGGGCTTAAGGTGGCTCTCAGTGGAGGCATTTTGAGACAGCTGCTTTCTAGGGAAAGCATTCCTTAAAATACAGCTCTTGCCTTCTGCCTCACCCCCAGTTTTTGACATTTTACAGCTCCAGTAAAACAAAATGTTTTAAAAATCTAATTTTCAGCTTTAGAGGCACAAAACCTAGAGGCTGGGCACGGGCAGAGAGAGACGGTTTTCAAGCAGCCAGGTGTGAGATGAAAAGAGCAGCAGTGGCTGCGTGCATGGCACCTTTCAGAGGACAAGATCCATCTCTGGAGCGGGAAGTGGCTCCCACACAATCCACTGGCTGCCGATGGCTCAGCCCAGGAAACAACTCCTGAGCATCACCACAATGGGCTGGCTACTATTTTGCAGGCAGTGCTTGTCTGCTCAGCAGCTCCCAGGGCTCTAATGTCTTTTCTCCAGCCCCCCCACCTCCCTCTAGGAATTTCATATGGAAGTGGCTGTCAGAAGTGACAACATCAGGACTGGATTAGCACAGGAATCCCTCCCTAAGGGCAAGATGCTCTGTTACACCTCTGAAAGAGGGGGAAAGAGGCTGACAGCAAGGAGAGCGTCAGCTGCTGGGCTCCACACTTCTAGTCTACAAAAAACATCAATGCTGGGACTTTTTTCAGCAGATTAAAGGAATTTGGATTGTCCATACCCAACACAAAGAGGATGGTCGGTTTAGATGAAATTTTTTGAGTAGGGAAAAAGGAAAGTTTGGAAGCAAAGGAGGAAAGTGATACCAAGGCCATGGGGCAGCAGCCACAGAGTCGGGGACAAAAGCAGCAGCTCAGGCAGGACCAGCAACGTGCCCACTTCTGGGATGAAGACTGGGGTGAATTAAAGCAATTTAAACAGTGACACTGCATCCCAGTGGTACCGTGTATTCCACCTCTGCTAGACCCCATGAGGCAGCAGCCACAGGGTGGGGGGCAAAAGCAGCCCAGGCAGGACCTGCTCCTGGGATGAAGACTGGGGTGAATTACAGCAATTAAACAGGGGAGGTAAATGGAGCTGTAAGGTCTTTTAAGGCTGCTTTCTTAAGGCACATGAAATAGAGTCATCTCTTGTGAAAAAAACATCTGACATTTCTCTAAAAGAGGGCAAGATGCAACAAGGAGTTGTCTAACCCTAGAGATATCAAAATGATTGCAGTCTGCACTATCCCTGGCAGTTCAACACTGCCCTTTCCACCTCCCATGCTGCCCTCTCCACCTCCCATTCTCACATCAGTGGCCCAAGTGGGAAAACCTTGAGGGCAGGGATTTGGCAGTCCTTTGGGAGGGAGAGTTGCTCAGCATAAGCACACCATCTCTGCTATGCCTTCTGGCGTGCATGTTGTCCTGATTAAAAAAAAATCTGGCAGTGTCACTGCCTGTCCCCCTGGAATGTGCATCATGGCTACAAACCAGGTGCTACCATTAACACTGCTGTAAAATGAGCTCTTCATTTAATTCCCATCACATTGGGGAAGGCAAAATATCCCAAATACGCATCTATCCAAGGACAAAGCCCTCCAGACCATGCTTGCTGTCTAGTCAGCAAAGAGAAATGGTTCAGGCAATTGAGACGCAGTGCAAGACAGAGCAACAGAAGAAGAAAGAAATGGAAGCTGAAGCTATGGGCAAGCAGCCCAGTCTCCAAGCAGCCCAGGAGCAGCCTGGGATGAACAGGGCATGACATACTAGAGGGGCTGCAGAAATCCACCTGGGATTAGCTGGGAGTGATGGAGTCAGAATTGAGTATCTCTGAGAGGTCATAGAGAATGGGTCAGATTTCAGAATTACAGACTGGCTTGTCTTGCAAAGGACCTTAAAGGGGTCATCTAGGTCCAATCCCTGCCATGGGTAAAGACACCTTCCACTATCTCAGGCTGCTCAAAGCCTTGTCTAGCCTGGCCATTCTTCCAGAGATGCAGCCACAGCTTCTCTGGGCAATCTGTGCCAGCACCTCACCACCCTCATAGGGAAGAAGTTCTTTCTATTATCTGATGCTTTAGAAATAGAACAAACTCTTTGTAGAGCAAGACTTGAACTCAAAACAATGTTAAAGTACTGAAGAAAGAGCTGGAATTATTTCAGGAGGCAATTCATCAAGGATTATGGAAAAGTGCCAATTTTGAGAATAATCAAACAAGCAAAATAATCCCAAGAATTCGTAAATTCTTCAGAGGATAACCTGACACTGGAAGTGAAACTTCACACTCAAGGTGAGTGGGCAGCACCACGATGTTCCCTCCAGAAACCAAAGAGGGGACACGACCCATATCATTGTGGCAATGGGGATGCCAGAGCAGGACAGAATGAGATGGGGACCTGGGAGGGAATGACCTGTTCCAGGCATCGCTCTAGGAACAGGCATGTATGAAAACATGCAGCAGAGCTGCTCCAGGACTCCCAAATCAAAGGGCTTGGAGACAAGCAGAGAGGAAAATTTCCAGCCTGTCCTGCACCCCAGAAGCCCCTGGCTGTGAAGTCTGGGATGCCAAATCCCACTGCTGGGAAGCAGCACTCCCAGCTCTACATGGGCACCGCCAGCCCAGGCAGTGCCAAGCCATCACTTTTCGGCTGGAAATAGCCCCAGCACAAGCCCTCAGTTGGGAAGGAGAGCATTGGCGAGGCCAGACTGCGGTTAGCTATCAAAGACAACTGAAAAAAAGATATTTTACACACTGGCTTTTTTTTTCCCTTTTTTTTTTTTTTTTTTTTTTTTTTTTTTTTTTTTTTTTTTTTTTTTTTTTGGTTGCGTTTTTTTTTTTTTTCCAAGGATGAAATCAACTCAACAGCCCCCTTTACAACTTCCCTTTTGATGTGTTCAGACTCATTAAAGTTTCATTTCTTTCTCTGTTTTCCCTGAGGGAGGAAGGAGAGTGTACACAAAAGTTTATTTCAGAAGCGGGGTCGGCAGCTGCAGCAGAAGCAGCAGCTGCTCTTGCTGTGGGACAAGCAGAGCCTCCACCAGCCTCTGCTCCATGCCCAAATCCCTTGGCAAAACATATTCCCCTGCAGCCACCCCACTCCCATGAGCAGCCCCAGCATTACTCTGGCATGATGCTTCACAAGTGCTTCTGCAGGATGCACACACAGTGTCACAGGTCACAAAGGGAACACATGAGAGATGCAAAGCTCCTGTAAACCCTGTAGGGAGCTTTGGGTCTGACCTTGCAAGTTTTCAGATCTGACCATGCAAGTTCATGGGGTCCTTTCCCAGCCTTTTCCATTTCCCCCACTGGAAGCACCAACCTCTCCCCCACAGCTTTGGCCACTGCCCTAGGATAATCCCCCACACACATCAAGGGAGTAGCAGCTCCCCCACGTTTCCTTCTCACCTGAGCAGCTGTTTAAGCATCTATTTTAAAACTCAGTTCCCTATTTTAAAATAGCTAATGAGCCCCCGATCTCTGCTGACAGATGTCGTCTCTGGGACATAAGGTCTGGGAGATACTTCTCTGTTTGATGGGCTCCTTTTCCCAAGCCCTGAATCTCAGCACACTCAGCACGTCTCCAATCTGCACAAACATGGTAAAGACGGAAGTTTTTAATTTAAGGGCCAACTCCTGCTCCCCCCTACCGTGAAATACCAGTGGTACAACAGCACGCTCCTAGATAGAGAAGCATCAAGCAGCCAGGCAGAGGCTGGGCATTATGCGCTGTTTTCTGTTGTTATTTTTTCATTGTTCCTTCAATTTTATCAGATCTTTTTAAAACTTTCCTGACCAAGAGCAAATAAGGAGCTGTCCCAACTGGCCACTGCCTAAAAAAAAAACGTGCATGAGAGGGACTTTTCAGGATGTAGTGGGAGGTCCCCGTGCATCCCTGTACAAGCCCAGGATCCTGAGCATCACCTTTATGTGCTCTCCAAGATGGTGTGCACCCCACCAAGGCAGAGGGAACCCCACATAAGAAGAACAGGCAGAGGAGGCCTCACGGACAGAACCAGATGGAGGAGACTGCTCACTTACCTGACCACAGGTTCAGGGATGGCCTCGGCACTTGCTGGCACCTGGACACCTTTCTCCCACTCCTGCCTCCAAGGATCAGCCAGAACATAGTATTCGTCAGGACTCAGCTGGAAGGAGTCAGGGATCTTCATGGCTGTTATCAGATCCGTCCGGAAAACCTGCACCAGGAAAAAACCCATCCTGAGCGCAGAAGTCTAGCAGAGGGCTGGGGCACACGTGCCCAGGGAGGGTGTCCTTGGTAAACTGCCCCCAAGGGACAGCAAAGGGGGTGCCTGCATCATCAATGGAGTGACTTCAGGATGTCAAATTAAGTCCCTGCAGGGTAAGTTTTGGGCAGGAGAACATGGCAACAGGCAGGGACTCCCCTCCAGCCAGGCAGTGCCAAGAGCCCAAGCCCTGCAGCTGCAACCCCTTCAAGGTACCCCACACAGGACAGTCAGAAAATCCAGCCACAGGGTGTGAGCTGGGACAAGATGCAGACCAAAAATTAGTTTTAAACTGAAGAAACAGGCTGTTTTTATCTTAGGGGATTAATGGTTGCAGCACAGCCACACAAATCTACTCCAAATGCCAAGGGATCTACAGCAACTGGGCTTTTCCACATTTGGCCTTCACAGGCCACAAGAAAATTACGTTCTTGACATGAATGAAGATGTGGGAAACACAGAGCCACTTTGTCTCAAGCACCTTCATATCTTCCTCACATCACCTCACCATCCTGAGCACCTCTGGGTCCCCTTCAGGTCACCTCACTGCCCCAAGTACTTTTATGTCTCCATCACATCACTTCTTTGTCCTGAACAGGGACAGACAAAAGCTGAAGACAGAAATGATCCAGCTAAAATGTGATCTAGGTGCTGCTTACACATTCACAAACAGATTTTTCCTGACTCAATAAACCCCTTGTGAGATCAACACTGATCCCCTCCTGTAGGAAAATCTTCCAGTCCTTCAGTCAGTGAATGGGATCATTCTCCATCTCACTCCTGGCCCTGCAGCATCTCCTCCCAATACACAAGGATGAAAAACTCATTCTAAAAATATCCCTGACGGTAAGTAAGGTTTTCCTTCCAAAGGGTTGCCTGACAGCAATGACTTGAGCAATCCTGCCTCTTACAGCATAAAAATAAATTGTAAATGAAAATGGATGATTTCTCCTCTCTACCATCTGCTATTAGCCAGAATAATAACTGCCAATAACAGCAATCCTGCCTGGATATTATCGTGCTCCATCCCTGCTACTTCTGCATTCCTTCCAAAAGTCTGGGATGGATCAGGTGTTTTCTTTGGATGTTATTGAATCTCTTAACAGTCTGTTCTCCAAATGAGAATTGCTTTGTCAGAATCACAAGAAATAATATAGTATAGTTTTACATTTTTTGATACAAAGATAACATACTTAGGATAGTATTTGGGAACACAAATCAACTGAAATGCAGGAAACTAGACATTAACTAAGACCACAGAGACCAGTATTTAGGTCAGTTTGTTTAATCCTCAGAGTCTCAGCTGCTAACCCAATTAGAGTTAAATACAATATATAAACAATCTTTGCTATGTTGGGACCTCTGAATTTTACTGGTACTTTCCTTCTGATGCAGCTGTTTGGAAACGTTTTTGGCTATGTCTATATAAACCTGATTTGAGTTTGTTAGACACAGTCTTGGCACACCCTTCAACAAACATAATTAACAGCCTATATGTCACAGTCAGCTCAGTTTGGGAAAGATCAGGATCCTTTAAGTCTCAAACACATGGTTACAGACACCACACTACCAGTGTGGGAAATTAAAAAAAAATATTAAGACAAGCATTATTTAAACATGAGAAGGGGTATGTGAGATATCACAGTCCCTCCAGCAGGGTCTGCGTATCCAAACAAGTGCAGGAATCCCACTGTAGTGTGTTTTGTAAAACAAAGGGTAGAAATACACCCTGTTCTTGACAGCCCTGCGCTGACAGGTCACAGCCTGGGTCAACAACATCTCCTTAACCCAGTTTCAGTGCCCAGCTCCAATGAGGACAACATAACCCTGAGTAATCCCTCACTCCTCAGAGCTCTCAGCTTGGGTGGATGAGATGCTGCCCTGTGGCTGAACCACATAGGGCTGAGGCCACCATGGGGGTCACTGCCATCTCCCTGCTCTGGCCACCAGCACCATACAGTCATTGAACCACAGAATCTAATTAAAGCTGGAAAAAACCCAGAAGATCATCAAGCCCAGAACTGCCAAGCTCAACTAAACTATGTCCCCAAGAGCAACATCCATATGTCTTTTTAATTCCCTCCAGGGAAGGTGATTCCACCACTGCCCTGGGCAGCTTGTGGCAGTGCTTAACCACCCTTTCAGTGAAAAACTTTTTCCTAATATTCAATCTAACCTTCCCCTAGCAACAGCACAATTCTGTTACAGAAAATACGGTTTTGAAAACACATGCCCTTGAGATTTGTGGGCAAAGTCAAGCAGGAATGGTTTTCAAAGGTGCAGGACACCCAAAAGTTTTCTGAACTACCTGGACTGGATACTGTTGACATGTGAGTACCCTCCTCCCTCGGTGCCAGCTCAGTTGCCTCCTGAGGACACCTCCTTTGATGCTGTGGGGTGCAGGAGCATTACTTCTTCTTTCACGGAGGCAAATACACCCAATTCTGCCAGGAAGCTGCTCAGGGCAGTGCTGGCAGTGCAGGGCAGGATGGCAGCATGCTCCTGCTTCCACCTCAGTGCACAGCTTCAGAGCAGTGGAGAACACGGGGCGGCCCTTTCCAGGACAACAAACCATTGGGAGGGTCCAGCCATAGCATCACTCTGCCCTGAGGCCTCCCCAGGCACCCATAGCAGCTGTGGCCTTCCCAGAGCCTTACCCCAAGCAAGGATCCCCATTTTCTTTTGCTAGGTCAGCACCATGTGACAGCAGTGAGGTGATAAGCCCTGTCTCTTCAGGGTAACACCAGGGCGGGGCACCCATGGAACAGTGTCAAAATCCTGGCCCATCACCCCCCTCCTACTGATGAAGAGGGAGACGGAGGAGCCTGCACAGCAACGGGACCACCCCTCGGTATAATTTCTCCCCTCTGCATGGTGCAGATCCCAGACTCGTGTTTTCCTGCATTAAGTCTTCCCCAAATTCATCCTTTATAGCTTTTCAGCTTGCATCAGCATAGAAGCTTAGTTTTAATTTTAAGCCAAATAAGCACGATTGTATCTATTTCCCTGAAGATAAGGCGCATGACAGGCTGGATTTGCAATCTCACCTCTTCATTTATTTAGTCCTTCTTGGAAAACAGATAAGCTCACCCATCCAACAGCAGCACGCACGCCCGCACTTTATCACAGTGACGCCTCTGTCCTTTCATGAAGAACTGGATTTGCTCAAATTATTAACTATCAAAGCAGAACACTTTAGAAATGATAGAACAGCACAGAAATTGTAAAGGAAAGCAGATCAGTTGTCTGGAAATCTCCCAACAGCTAATACGCTCAAATTGTAATCTAAATGTCTTTTTGTTTTGAATTGTCTGGGATTAGGGTTGGGAAAAGACTCAATTATTCTACTCAAACTCTTCTGAATTATTTATGAAAATCAAATAAAGGATAAATCGGGCACTGATGAACTGAGGACCTGGCGATGAAGAGAAAGTTGGGTACCACAAAACAAGCAATTTTCCCTCAATAGGAGTGTTTACTGTTTCTCCCCAGCTATGGGAGCTGACAGATTGTCTGCTGTCCTGCATCCGCTCCCCCTGCCACCACCACAGCCCAGGCCAGGCTCTGTCCTTCATTTTCAGCCCTGAATGGGATCTGAGTTATTGTTTACTGATCTGCCAGCAATGAGAAAGACCAAACCAAGCGTTCCTTTATTACGTCTGCTTGCTCAGGAACCTCATAGAGGTTTAGTGATTCTCAGAGATGCATCATACCAGTGCCCAGGGCCAGTCTCTCCCTTTGTTACTGTCAGCTTTAAAGACGGGGAAAAACAACATGAAATTTCAAAATCCCAAGACATTTTTTCCTTCATATTTCCAAAAGAAACGGACATAGAGTCCACACCAAGTTGGTGTGGCTGTGCAGCCTCAGACTCCAGGCAAAGAAAGGAACGTGGAGAAACCTTCATCTCCCTTGCATTTCACAGGCCAGGCAAGCCTGGACTACCCACCCGTACTACTTCCCCATCCTTGCAGCCCACCAGTTTGTGGTGTTGGACTGACTCACCACTAGAGCCAGTCCTGGCAGTCCAGCAACATGAGAAGTCACTGGAACACCACAGCCATGGTGCTCCCCAACAATACATCGGTATTTTTGTAATTTCTGTAATTTTGAATGGATTTCTATTATTTTTATTAACTCTCTTATTTCTATTTCTATTATTATTAAAAATTTCTATTTTGAAGCAAAAGTTGTATTGCTTTTACCTCTCAAAAAAACCCCAAACAAACCCTGAGCTAATTAAATGTAACATCCTCTGATGTTCACATCCCAATGTGTCACTTGGATCCAGTCTGGCATTGGAATGATGCTCCTGTGGGTACGGCAGAAACCTGCAAGGCAGGGGTTGATTTGGCTCCTCCTTGAGCCCCTGGCACCTTGTACAACAGCTGCTCCACCTTGGCGAGGGTCTGCTCCTTTTCCCACTGGACACAGCCCTGCAGCCTCTCCCTGTGCCCTGTGACAGCTGCGTGGTATTTCAGGGAGCTCTCCATGGGCAAACATCAATTTGTCCAACAGTTGAACAACCCCAGAGAAAAACACCTACCCCTGGGAGATGCCAAGGCACACAGTGCCTTGCCACAACAGGAAGGACAACTGACACGCCATGAAGCATCAGAAATGCTGCTCCCCATCCCTCCATTAGCTAAAGACTCCCAGGTTGTGCTGCTTTCCAGCATTCTCCTTCTCCACCTCTACCTCATCACCATCCAGTCCCTCTGTGAGCCTCTCCTCCACCCTTCCATGCAATTCTCACATCAATTTCTAGGCTCTTGTGCTTCACTCACAAACCCCTTTTAATGAACTGGCCAGCAACCTCCCTGCCATTCAGTTCCCACTCCAGGTGCTCTCTGTCAAGGACTTGGCTTTTCCAGCGACTGTACTGTAGCTCTGAGCCTGCCAATTATCCCCTTTGCTCCAAATAATCCACCCAAAAACACCAAACTCAGATC